AATGGTCGTCTATTTGGCGTGCGCTCTTACTCTTTTGGCTTGTTCGTCGATAGCTTCTGCAGCCATTGTCGAGCATTCATTTCATGTAATGTTCTTCTTTCGATCGTTTTACATGTCGTATATTAGGTCGTATCATATCATGATCTGCAGTCTCTATATAATCATACTTATTAATCGATCGTGTTGTGTCATATCGTATATTATTGTCACCTTGAATTATTGCCTCAAATGCATGCTTAATTTGCTAGGGAGAACATGAAATTACTCATATTTTCACTAGAAATTAACCATAGACATTCATCACACCATAACTTGTACTAATTTTTTCATCTTCTCACAAAATGATAAATCACGAGTAATTTAACTTTCAACTAACTTCAGGTGAAAAATCTTACCGTGAATCGGCTATGCCGTAATCAAGTTATTACCGCGGTTAACGGCAGCCTTCCGGGGCCAACCATTCGTGTCCATGAGGGCGACACTCTTATCGTCCACGTTCTAAACATGTCGCCTTACAACTTAACCATTCATTGGTACGTAAATTATCCCCATTTTTTTATTTACCTCTCTTTTTCTTGGATAAATTATAATTACTCAATTTTGTTCATTGATGTGTGATACTTACAATTTAGGCATGGTGTGTTTCAACTTCTAAGCGGTTGGGCCGATGGGCCCGAATACGCAACCCAATGCCCCATCCGACCAGGACACAGCTACACGTACAAATTCACGATAACTCGACAAGAGGGAACTCTTTGGTGGCATGCGCACGTTCAATGGCTTCGGGCCACGGTTTATGGAGCCCTAATAATCCGGCCCAGATCCGGTCAACCCTACCCGTTCCCAAAGCCTTATAGAGAAGTCCCAATTCTCCTTGGTAATTAATTAGCAATATAACATACATCTAATTTTGGCAATTTCAACAATTAATTTGACCTTTCAAATAAAAATTACAATTAAATTTACTAACTATTATTATTATTATTATTATTATTATTATTATTAGGTGAATGGTGGAATGCTAATGTGATAGACGTGGAGAACCAAGCACTAGCTACCGGAGCTGCACCTAATATTTCAGATGCTTATACAATTAATGGTCAACCCGGTGACCTATATTCATGCTCTTCAAATAGTAAGTGTCACATTTATTAATATATATCAATTTAATTTGCACCTAACTAATGATATTCAAGATATTTCATTCAAGTTTCCATAAATTAATTACATAAATATGTTCCAATTTAATTATAGGAACATACCAATTGCACGTAGTACGCGGGAAAACCTATCTCCTCCGAATAATCAACGCTGCACTGAACAACCAGCTGTTCTTCAAAATCGCGGCCCACAGACTGACAGTCGTCGCTGTCGATGCCTCTTACACGAACCCTTACTCGACCGACGTCGTAGTCGTGGCTCCGGGCCAGACGACCGATGTACTCCTCACGGCCGACCAGAGCCCGGCCCGTTACTACATGGCGGCCCATCCCTACATAAGCGTGGCCAATGTCTCGTTCGACAACACCACAACCACCGGAATCTTAGTCTACGATGATGGGCCTTCGTCCCGGCCCATTATGCCCGTCCTCCCGGCCTTCAACGACACGCCCACGGCCCACAAGTTTTTCACCAACCTAACCGGGCTCACCACAAGCCCGTTTTGGCTTCCCGTCCCAAAACGGGTCGACGAGCGAATGTTCATGACCGTAGGTTTGGGCCTCGCCGCCTGCGATAGGCCCGGTAACTCGACTTGCCAAGGCCCGTTTGGGATGAGGCTTGCCGCAAGCATGAACAACGCCTCTTTTCGATTTCCGAACAAGTTGTCCATGCTCGAGGCGTTTTTTAGGAATAATGTCGAGGGGGTTTACACCACGGATTTTCCCGATAACCCGCCCGTGAGATTCGACTACACGAACGCGAACAACACTGTGAACCGCGCGCTTTTGAATACGACTAAGTCGACGAAGGTGAAGAAAGTGAAATTTAATTCGACGGTCGAGATCGTGCTACAAAACACGGCTCTACTAGGAATCGAAAACCACCCGATACACTTGCATGGGTTCAATTTCTATGTGTTGGCTCAAGGGTTTGGGAATTACAATGCCAATGTTGATAGTAAGAAGTTCAATTTTCGGAATCCACAAGAGCGTAACACGATAGCCGTACCGGTTGGAGGATGGGCCGTCATTAGATTCCGAGCGAACAATCCAGGTACATTTTGTTACCTAAAATTATTTAAAAAACAAATAATAAAAATAATAATTGTGAAGCGAATATTGTTGAAAATTAATGATTTGTGTATATATAATCTTTGAGTTTTGAGTGATTAAAATGGAAAATGTTTATGTAGGTGTGTGGTTGATGCATTGTCATCTGGACGTGCACTTGCCGTGGGGTTTAGCGACGGCTTTTGTGGTGGAGAACGGGCCAACGCCGGCCACGACACTGCCGCCACCGCCGCCGGACTTTCCCAAATGCTGAAGTTACGTTTTGGTGGAGAAAATAAATTTATATCAACTATTGGGGGGAATTATTAATTTGATTTTACTTGTCATTCTTAATTTGTGTTGTTTGATTTTATTGTTATTTGTTTGAATGGCCCTAATGTTGTTTTTGCAATTTTAGTTTGGTAAGTCTATTATTTGATCAATTTGTATTGTTGTTATATGTAGGAATGCTTTGTAATAGTTTGATTCAGTCAAATTTTAATGTTTTTAAATGGATTTTCGTAAATTTCTTTTGTGAAGCAATTATTTTTTTTCCTTGATGAATTCCAGGATTGTTAAAGAATAAAGAGGCAATTGATTCTCCATGCTTCTATATGTTCTACTTTCTCGTGATTTCATTAATACATAACTAACCATCCAAAAATTTTACTTTTATTAAATTTTTAATCTACCAGTTGATAACATACTTGTAAATATCACGTCCAATGCACACATTTGTATATTTTAGCCATTATTATATAAACATAAGAATATATATTTTTTACAATAAAGCAATGCATATATTTTTTATATTCGATTAAATAATTATTAATAGACAAATTAATATTATTTTGTTATAATTATATATTTTTTTATTTACCTACTAATGTAATTTAGGTTCCGTTTGAATGGAGTGATTTGGACATGTGGATTTCAAATTCTTAGGCTCAAATTCTTGGGCTTGTTTGGATAACATTAAAAAATGAAGGATTTTAAATCCATGAAAAAGGCGCAATGAATTTTACTCGTTATTTCAAGGATTTCAAATGATCCAAAAAAACTGGTCATTTCAATTCTCGGCAAAGTCATAATCACGTATCACAATTCACAAGCCCCAAAATCGATCCACATCTCTCTCTCTCTCTCTCTCTCAATCCAATCCGGTGAAAGCGCTCTTCTCTCGATCTCGATCACATGCCCTCTTCTCCGTCGATCCGGTGAAAGAGCTCTTCTCTCAATCTCGATCACAAGCACTCTTCTCTGTCGATCCGGTGAAAACGCTCTTCTCTCAATCTCGATCACAAGCCCTCCTCTCTGTCGATCCGGTAAAAGCGCTCTTCTCTCCATAAACACAAAGTATGTGTATAGATCTTGATATGGATGATAGATTGCCTTTGTTTTATAATTTTGTTTGCTTGTTGTGTGTATTTATGTGCTCTATAGTTTTTTGTGCATAGGAGCAGAACTTTGGACCTGCTTTAGTTTCTTTTTACTGCTATGGCTTCAAGAATAAAAGGATGCTTGATTTTGTTTGTGTGGCTAAGACTAAGAGAACGGCAGGCTATGTGTATAGTAGATAGAATAGTTATAAGGTTATGTATGCTTTCCCATAGGCAAATGTAGGCCATGCTGAATAACTTTGCTTTTTTCATCGATAATAGACTCAATTGTAGTGTAGCATTTGATTAATTGGAGCAGTGTCATAAAACAGAGGACTTAATAGTAATATAATGCTACATAACAATTCAAATAAAAGCATAAATCATTCAATGATATAATATTTTTGTGTCCTTCCTGTTTTGAGCATATATTTATGTGTCAAGAATAAAACCTGCTAAAGTGCTAATCACGTGTTTCAGTAGGTTGATGTTCATAAGTTCAACATTGTATATTTTTGTTATTATCCTTTGAGGTAAGTTTTTCCGTTTAGTATTTCCTTTTGGTGTTAAATAGTATAGTGAATGAATTCCTGAAAATGATGGTTATCTCGATAACTGAACTGTCTATCCTTCTTTAAGTTTTCTTGATGCATCCAATATTTAAGAAGATAATGGAACTGTTAGGGGGTAGCTAGTGTGAGATATTGTCATTGCAAAATTAGTTTATTCTCCTGTACATGTCACTTCAGCTATAAAACTGGTCAATTGCTGATGGACTTTTGGAGTCAATAACATACCCTGCTGAATTCTTGAATATCTTGAGCTTATATTATTGATCTGGAGTTAGCTTAACAAATTGTGAAGCTTAACAATATTTTATCATATTTTATTATATTGGTGAGATTAATCTTTTTCTCTCCTTTTCCTTTTTTAAGAAAAAGAGTACACACTCTATAGTCTATATTGATCAATTAGCATGTATCCAGTCTATATTATGCGCGTTATTTTTTTAGAAATGACCTCTAAAGGTGGCATATATGTAAGTCTGATGGATAATAGTAGTTAAAAACGTAGAAGAGAGGATGTGGAAAATGATGATGAAGAGTCGGACATTATTATTGTTTTGTTGATTTCTCTCGTAGCTGTTTTGGGCTCTTGGTACCATAATAATTATCAAAGAGGTTCCCGTGAAAAATGATGTAAGAGCTGAACGGAGGGAACTTTGGATGAGATCCTTATGTCGTGATCCTACATGTTTTAGGCAACTACGAGTAAATGTGCACACATTTAACAAATTATGTGAAGTATTACATAATGAGGGTGGACTAGTTGCTTCAAGAAATGTCACAATAAAAGAAATTGTGGCAGTATTTCTACATATTCTCGCTCATGATAAAAAAAACAGTACAGCAACATCTATATTTTTGCGGTCAGGGGAAACTATAAGTAGGCAGTTTCATACCGTACTACGTGCGGTACTAAAAATTGGAAAAATCTATCTCAAGCAACAAAGTGATGGATTATATAATGAGAGGGATGCAAGGAGATGGAGATGGTTTCCGGTAATTATTCAACTTTTATTCTTATCAAATACAAGCATTATAAAAACTACGGTTTAAAACTTATTCATTAAATTGTGTAGAATGCACTGGGGGCTTTAGATGGAACTTTTGTTGACCTGACTGTTCCAGTGAAGGATCGTAGCAAATATAGGAATAGGAAGGGTCGTATAAGTACAAACGTGTTAGGAATTTGTGATGCTAATTTGAAATTTCTCTATGTGCTACCTGGATAGGAGGGATCCACTTCGGATGCACGAGTGTTGCGTGATGCATTATACAGGACTAACGGTTTAAGACTTCCAAATGGTAGGCTGAAAATTTATTAGCTAATGCATAGTTTAAAATATTTAAAGATAATTGATGTTATTTTCCTGTATACTTTTGGTAGACCAATATTATCTCGTGGACGCTGGTTATACAAATGGTCCTGGTTTTCTTGCTCCATATAGAGGGACTCGTTATCATTTGAATGAGTGGAAAGGAAATATTCCCCAGACTTACAAAGAGCTGTATAACCTTCGACACTCTTCAGCAAGAAATGCAATTGAGCGAAGTTTCGGTTTGCTGAAGAAAAGATGGGCTATTTTGCGGGCTGCTAGTTTTTATAGTGTGAAGACTCAAATTAGAATCATCAATGCGTGTTGTATTTTGCATAATTTTGTGCGTTGTGAGATGTTAATTGATCATTTGTTGATTGAAGTGGACAGAGAACAAGCAAATCGTTCTAGAGTGGAAGATGAATTTAATGATGAAGAGAATATAAGAGTTGTCAGAACTACACCCGAGTGGACTGTTTTTCAGGATAATCTTGCCCTACAAATGTTTGATGAGTATCAAGCTCGACGAGAATAGTATATTTCCAACATTTTTATGTGATACTTGGTTTGTCTTTGGCTCTTTTTATGCGATATAATGTTTAGCTATTTGAGTAAAATTCTTACTATATGCTGTCAACTTATTATTTTCATAATTTTGGCTATGGATGATAAAGAAAGTATGGATAACAAGATGAACAAAGGAACAAAAGCTTCAATGTCAATTAACACAAAAACATCCAAGAGGAGCTTTTCCGCCTATGATGCTTCTACTGATCATGCTGCTCATGCTGCTGTTGAAGGTAACCTTTCATACTGTATGATGGTTTATATTGATTCAATTGGCGTATTTTTATTTTTTACATATATTTTTCAGTTAAGCACAAACAATCATATGTATCTTGGAATAAGGAGATGGACAGTAATTTGGCTTTCATATTAACTGAACAAATGGCTCTTGGACACAAGTGTGATGGTGATACTTGGAAGCCCCAAGCTCTACATGCTGCTGTGACGTACTTAAATGCAAAGTTGCATCTGAATTTGATGAAAGATAACATAAAAAATAGATTTAAAAGCTGGAAGAAGCACTACAATGTAGTTTCTGACATCCAAACTAATCAAAGTGGTTTTGCTTGGGACGAGGATAGGAAAATGATTGTTATTACTTCCGATGAATCGAGTTCCTGGGCTGCATATGTGGAGGTTAGCCATTTATATTCTGTTATTTTATTTTTGTTTTTATATTTTGTTACAAATATATAGCATATGGAGCAAACAATTCAATTGGATGATTGTTATCTTTTCATGTCTCTGTGAGCTCTCCTTGATTGTTATCTCATTGATTGTTTTGTATAGATATGAACTAGAGGCTTATTTCTTGTACACTTACCTTAGTGCACCACAAAAGTCACTTGTTTCTCAAGCCTTAGGCCTTATATTGTCTCCTTTGTGAAAATATATGTGAAAGGAAAAAAAGATCCACTTAAATATGAGGTTGGAAAAATTGATGAGAAAAAAATTGAGGCTTGATTGAAGCTACTCTCTCCAGGAAGAGTTGATTTCTTGAATGTTAAATTTACATTCTGTTATTTTTTATATTTTGTTACAAATATATAGCCATTTATATTCTGTTATTATTTTTTTTTTTTGTTAATGATACTGGTTGTAGATTTTCAATCATATATAATCAATAATGCTATTAGCTTTTCCAAATATATTTTAAAAATGTCTCATTGAATGTTAATTTATTCAACATACTAAACCAGGGAAGGTCCGGTTTAGGGAAAGCACTAAGAATCTTCTTTCTGTTAAGAGAACTACTAAACCAAATAGGTTCTTATTAATATGAACAATTCTAGAGAAATCATTAACTTATAATTAATATATATTTTCGAGTTTATGTGTGTGTGAGAGATGGAGATAGATGAGTTAATCTACTTTGCCAGACTAATTTACCAAATTAGGTATCGATAAAATTTAGAGTGCTGATTTTGGTAATATTATAACGAGAAGAGTATGTATAAGTTTGTCAAGTGTATTTTTACTTACCATTATATAATTAATTCTGACAGTCAACTCAAGCATGACTCAGAGATAGAGAGGTACATTGATGAAAACAGTCTTTGAAAATTTTTCAGAGAAAGTGTTGATATTGGCAGTAATGATTTTGAGTTCATAATTGGTGACTTGAGGATAAAAATCAGTGTTGTAAAAATAAGTGGCACCATCTGAGGAAGATTCCAACTCAGATATCTCATCCTGGATCTTTTTCTACTCATTATAGTGATTGGATGTAGCTAATTGCATCTCTAATGATTGATGCCTTGTCCATCTGCATCATATGTAACAACTAATTAATTAAGTATATATAATTACTCCAAATGGGGCCCTTTTTTTTTATTGTACATATATGTCCAATTTAAGTCATTAAAAAAGGTAAGGACAATAACTGAGCAGATTATTTGTTGATGAGTAGAAGAATACCTTAGTAATGTTTGGGACCACAGATTTTAATGCATAGAGCTTATCATTCAACTTTTTTCTCTTCATCCTTCCTGAGGCTATGTTCTTTGATTGTATGTCGTCCGGCAAGCTCGATATGGGTTATCCTGTAATCTTTTGAGTATGTGCTGTTTCAATCTAAATATTAAATTAAAGTGCACATCAGCCAGATTATATGTAAGATTATATGTATGATAGTAACTGTTATATATGTTGATTTTCTGTATGCAGTCACATCCTGATGCAAAAGGGATGCAAAATAAAATGATAGAAAATTGGGATGACATTGTTCTCTTATGTGGAAGAGATAGAGCAACAGGTCAAAATGTTGAAACTTTTCAAGAAGGTAGTGAAGCAATGGATGAAGATGTTGAGATTGAAGAAGACTTGGCTCCTAGTTCCGATTACAGAGCACGAGCAAGGACATCAAGTTCAGCAGATTCGAACTTAGAGAAAAAAACAAAGTTTAAGAAACATTCACTGGCTGAAGTGGTAGGTGTTATTGCTACTTCATTTCAAGAGTATTTGACAAGCAAAAAACAAGAAGAGAAACCAAGTGGCATTGAGATACATGAAGTTGTATCGGTTATACCGGGGCTTACTAGTGAAGAAGTGTTCAAAGCTATCCGCAAGCTAATGAATAGCGATCTAGAGGAGTTCAAATTGTTGAAAGCCCTTCCAGAAGAAAAAAAAAAAACAAGAGTGGATTTATTATCTCATCAATTCTTAGTTGTCTCAGAGTGGATTTATTATCTCATTAATTCTTAGTTGTCTTTGGAGATGTTCATTTGCTAAATAGTGCAAAAGATTGCCTTGCTATTTGTTGGAAATAATGATGTATTGTGTTCAACTTCTGTGATTTGCTTTCGAATGCTTTATGTGAATATTCTGTGATTTGCTTTTGGAATGTTTTATGTGAATATTGTCTTGGATATGTTTTCATGATGCAACTTATATCTGTGGAGAAATTCTTATTGGCAGGATGTTGTAAATTCAACATGTCTTGATAAGTGACCTTATCCTTCCTTTTCATTATTTGGGTATGGCATTTGTGAGATTTCATTTTACATGATTTGAGATATAACTAGTGCGTGGCCCGTGCGATGCACGGGAAAATAATATTACGATTATATTATAATTAAATATATAATACCATTAATTATGATTTACCCATTGTTTTTAAATTAAACCAGGTTGGACACAGTCCGACCAGATGGACCGAGAACTGGGTTATAAACAGTGTAGTTCGCTTGAATGAAATATTTACTATTGAATCCGTCAATATCAGTTGGTTGGACTGGTAGGATCGTTACGATTTTCTAAATAAATTTTGTTACATTTAAAATTATTTTAAATAAAATTACATATCTAAATAAAATAGAGATTTATAAATTGTTTATCAATTAGTTTTAACATTTGAATTTATAAATTGTTTAGATATTTAAGTAACACATTTTATTAAAATTTATTCCAAAAAGTACTCTAGAATGATTTATATTAAAATGTATATATTAAAATGTATATATATTGATATTAAAATGTTTATAAATTAAAATGTGAACAAACTACAAATGATTTAATAGAATAACTGATCGTTTCGATGATGGTTCGATTCTGAAAACCATATCACTGTGCATTAATAAAAATTATAATAAAATATTATTTTATTCACATAAATATTTATAAAAAGATATATAAATATTCATTAATCATTAAACATTTTGTCATATAAACGTATTGTTAACATGATTATTTGAAGTTTGGGGAATATTAAAAATTGAAATGAATTAATAAATAAATATTGTTGTCATATTCACATGGTAATTCTTATTAAAACTTGAAATATATTAACAGGCTTTGAAAAATTGTTATTGTTACATGTTGAAAAATTTATGAACAAAGCCTCATAAATTGAAAAATCTTGTTAACATGTTGCCAATTTTTAATGAACAAAGCATTTTACCATTTCAATTTTAAGTGAAAATCACGTATCTATATAACAAAGCATGTTAATCACTCTTTTAATATATTGTTAATATGATTATTAGGAAAAAAAAAGTTACTAAGAATGGTAGGTATTAGTGTTGACTGAAATTTGACTTTCCATTTTTAAAAAATGGTAATTTTTATTATATATATATATATATATCTTGAAAATATGTACTAATAATGAAATTTTAGAAAATGATTTATTTTTTTATGTTATTTTGTAAAAAAAAAAAAAAATGTTCTTATAGTTTGCCAAACAATGAATTTGAAATTCTTTCCACAAATTTACCTTAATCCAAACAAGGGAATTCAAGGTAATGGATTTGAAATCCAATAAATTTGAAATCCTTTTATTTGAAATCCTTTGAGATTTAAAATGACTCGATCCAAACGGAGCCTTAAGTTACTTTGTTTAAAACTACCTTGAATAAATTTAAGCAAATTAGTCGAATTTATACAAAGTTCACTAAAATTCATTTTCAAAGTTTGAAAAAATCTATCAACACAATCACGTTTATAATCAAACTATATATTATTTTGTTCGGTAACCTAAGTGTGTATTTAACTATCACTAACAAAAATTAATTTTTCTACGATTGCAGTCGTAAGTCTAATATATAGGATCAAAATCAAACACTACCCAACATTGAGAGTCATTGAGGCCAACACTATCATGATCTCATAGTGTTATAACTATCAAAGTTAAACCATTCATCTTAGGTATATATATATTGAACTCGTTTGGATGTTAGGGAATTGAATCTCATTTAGAATTTTGACCAGTAAAATCTGCAAACTAACTTGTTCAGTAAAAACTTATGATTTTTTATTTTTTTTGTTTGTTTCAAAACGTCAATTATGAAAAACCTCAATGGAGAGGCATGTTGAATAAAGAGATTTACAAAATAACACAACATAATAAAGTTTTCATAATATTTATGCAACTGCGTTTGAATAAAGAGAATTCATAAAATAACACGACAACATAAAATTTTCAAACATGCAATACAAACTGCTGACAAACAGCTAGCCAAATCAACTATTAAAGTCTCGTTATTACCATCTACTATCTACTTTAATACACTTGACGATTTCTTCTCATGCTCTTTAAATTTAAAGTTATTTAACCAAATCAAGTTTCCAAATTAAATTATCATTCTGTTAATATGAACTTAGCAGATGTATTTATTATTATTATTTATCTATTTTCACATATAATGTTGATTTTAGGTACATTTTTTAGTTGATCACAGCGTGACACACGGTTAGTTGTAAGTTGTAACTAATATCAACCCGAAAAAAAACCCCAAAGTTCAAAGGTACATCAATTTTTGTCAAATCCCAGCTTTTTATGCTCCGTGTATTAGAAAAATCTCATCTCCATTTTTACAGGCACACGTAAAAGAAAAAAAAAAAAAGTAATTAATCATATCCAACAAGATATACAAATCGATCAAGATCGGGTCAAAACACATCAATTAAGCAAAATAATTCACTTAAATTCAGTTGTAAAACGATCATTTTTTGGACTTCTTTTTTCCAGTGCTACTACCGTGTGCCTAGGTACACCTAGCTAGGTGTGCCAGGGCAGTTTAAAATGAACATGTTATGTTACAAAATGAACATGTACAAACATGATTTGCACATATTCATTTTGTAACATAACATGTTCATTTGTGGTACACCTAGCTAGGTACACCTAAGTATTTGCGTCTTTTTTCGGATACTGTTTTGATATCATATCATATGTCACATCATACTTATGAATTTTTGTTTCAAAGATATGACAAACGAATAAAGTTGTTAGGTAAGGAAAGTTATTCTTCACTTCACCTAATTCTCATATCTCCATTGAAGATTGGGGAGCAAATCTTTCACGATAGATAGTCCAAACGCGTACTAGAGAATATTTGTTTAACTAAATGAAAAATGATTTAAATTTTTTATTATTTAATAAAAGGCCGTGCATGCAGCCACTTGGTATAAATAAGGGAATGTTATCTTCATTCTGCATATCCTTAATTCTTTCTTTTACTTTGAGAATTTCATTTCATTTTTTTTCATATATAAATATATAATTATTTATCACATTGTTAAAATATGGCAGGCCGACCTGTAATGGTCTGTTTGGCGTCCGCTTTTACTCTTTTGTCTTGTTTATCAATTGTATCAGCAGCCACTATAGAGCACACGTTTAATGTAAGTTTTCATATTACTATTATTAGTAGTAGTAGTATTATGAAACTAATTAAGTGTTATGTACTTTCAGGTGAAAAATTTTATGGTGAATCCGCTCTGTAAAAACCAAGTTATTACTGCGGTGAATGACAGTTTTCCAGGGCCAAATATTGAAGTCTGTGAGGGGGATACGCTCGTGGTCAATGTTATCAACAATTCGCCTTACAATATAACTATCCATTGGTAAATTATACAAATTATATTATTTTCTTTAATATTATTTTTAACTGAGTCAAAAAACTTGAATTTAATTTGTGCTTCAACAATTACAAATTATTATATGAAGCATTCTAACCGTTATCGATCGTTAATCGTCATACATTATAATCAAATAATTAATAAACAATGCATAGTTATTACTTACTTAAAATATCATACTTTAATTTATAATTTTTAATGTATGATATTTAATTTAGTTTAAAAGTAGGACAGAATCCGATAGTGACAAATCCAGTATCCGAATTCTAATCAATCAGCTATAATTTACTAAATATATATTAATTTTTAAAAGATGTTATTTTCAGGCATGGGGTATTTCAAATGCTGAGCGGGTGGGCTGATGGGCCGGAGTATGCAACCCAATGCCCGATCCGACCCGGAAACAGATACACGTACAAATTTAACATTACCCGACAAGAGGGAACTCTTTGGTGGCATGCACACAGCCAATGGCTTCGGGCCACTGTATATGGAGCACTAATAATCCGACCCAGATACGGAAGATCCTACCCGTTCCCAAAACCCGCTAAAGAATTCCCAATCCTCCTTGGTAATAAGTAAACATCATACATATTGTATCCTAATTTTGGTGTTAATAAAAAAATTATACTTAAAAAATAAAAATAAAAAATTTTAATTTTAATTTTAAATACTTTGTAAAACTCGCATTACTAGTTTATTTAGTTTACAGTTATAAAAATGGTGTCAAATCTGATTAATTTGTATATTATAAATGAACAAGTAGAGAAAAATCAAACAATTTATTAAATTTTAAAAAATATTTATATTTAAATTGATCGTGTGTTTTATAATTTTAAAAATTCTAATATATTAGTACAAAAAGGATTACGAGCTACCAAAAATCGATACATAAGATTACTAAATACCGAAATCCTTCATATAATCTCGAAATTTATACATAAAGAGTGATGGTAGTAATAACATTTAATTAACTGAAATATTCAATAAAAATTTTGAAATTTTAGTATTGTTATGCATTATGTGATTAGATAAATTTATATTTTTAGGGGAATGGTGGAATTCTAATGTTGTTGACGTGGAGAACCAAGCCATAAGTACAGGTGGCGCACCTAACATTTCAGACGCTTATACAATCAACGGTCAACCAGGAGACCTCTACTCATGCCCTTCAACTAGTGAGTGTCTTGGTTTCAATAGTAGAATTACACACACTCACACACACCCGGAAAATACTTGATGAGAACACTTGTCTTCACCAATAAAATTTAATTTTCCACTAACATGCATGTTTACTTCATTTTATTTATTTATATTTTGCTTAATTTTTAGGCACATATAAGTTAAATGTGGTACACGGGAAAACTTATCTCCTCCGAATAATCAACGCTGCACTCAACAATCAACTGTTCTTCAAAATCGCCAGCCACAAAATGACAGTTGTCGCTGTCGACGCTGCCTACACGAATCCCTACCCAACCGACGTTATCGTGCTGGCTCCGGGCCAGACGACTGATGTACTCCTCACGGCCGACCAAAGCCCGGCCCGTTACTACATGGCGGCCCATCCCTATATAAGCGTGGCCAACGTCACGTTCGACAACACAACAACCACCGGAATCATAGAATACGATAATGGGCCTTCCACCTCGTCCGGGCCCATCATGCCCGACCTCCCGGCCTTCAACGATACTCCCACGGCCCACAAATTTTTCACCAACCTAACCGCGCTAACCACAAGCCCGTTTTGGGTCCCGGTCCCGAACCTGGTCGACGAGAAAATGTTCGTGACCGTGGGCTTGGGCCTCTCCGCCTGCGACAGGCCCGGGAACTCGACTTGCCAAGGCCCGTTCGGGCAGAAATTCGCCGCCAGCATGAATAACGAGTCCTTCCAAATCTCGAAAAGGCTTTCGATGCTCGAGGCCTTTTTTAGGGGGGACGATGGATTGTACACTACTGATTTTCCAGATAATCCGCCAGTGATATTCGACTACACAAACGTGAACAACTCGTTGAACCAGGCTCTACTGATGACGAAAAAGTCGACCAAGGTGAAGAAGCTCAAGTTCAATTCGACGGTCGAGATGGTTCTGCAGAACACGGCTCTGATCGGAATCGAAAATCACCCGATACATTTGCACGGGTTCAATTTCTACGTATTGGCTCAAGGGTTCGGCAATTACAATGCGGCTGTCGATAGTAAAAAGTTCAATACTCGGAATCCGCAAGAGCGTAACACCATCGCCGTCCCTGTCGGAGGATGGGCCGTAATTAGATTCCGCGCCAACAATCCAGGTAATTTTTTAGGAATTTTGACACAATTTATTGACATAAACGATGTGTAAGTGTAAGAATTGTTGATTTTAAACTAAAAGTCTAAATCCACGTGATCTAATTGTCATTTAAGTTAACTATTATGTTAGTGTAACAAAATTTAACTAACAATGTCTATGTGTACAATTTTGTATAATTGTATGAATTGATAATAAATTGAGTGATTATTAAAATGGAAAATATTTATGCAGGTGTGTGGTTGATGCATTGCCATCTAGACGTGCACTTGCCGTGGGGTTTAGCGACGGCTTTCGTGGTAGAGAATGGGCCAACACCGGCAACAACGTTGCCGGCACCACCAGGGGATTTTCCGAAATGCTAATTAATTAAGTTTGTGCTGGAAAAATAAATTTAGAATTGAATTTTGGAGGAGTGTAATTTGTGTTGCTTTGTTGTATTTTGTTCTGTTGTTTCGATTTGACATCATTATTTATTTTGTATGCTGTTGATTTTTGCATTTTGGTCTATTAATGGAATAAAGGTTTTTTTATTAGTCCACAATGTCACAGGGGTAAAACAGAATTTTTACTCTCCTATATGCACAACTTTAATGGTTNTAATACTAATAATTTTATAAATTTAATAATAAAATTCCATAATTTTTAAAATCGACCAATCTAGGAAAAAAATGGCCCAAAAATGAATTTTGTCAGGAATTTTTAATCAGTCAGGTGGACATGATCTTTTTTTTCAGAAGGTGGACATGATCATGTGTCAATTTTCGAGTAGACATTTAAATTTACTAATCAATTTAAGAACAATTTCAACTGCAAATTTAAATTTCAACGAAATTTTAATGGGGTGCGCACCCATAACCAATCGAAATCGTGACTTTTTTTTCCCGACAAAATGATCATTTTTAAAAAGTACATGGACTAGTATATATTAAATCTATATATATATATATATATAATAAGAATTAATATTTTTAAAAAATAGTAAGCAAAAAAATAGGGAATATTAATTGCATTCCATTTTTGGTATGTTTTTTTAATTTTTTAATAAAAAAATAAGTAGCATTTAATGCTAGCATAAATCATGTGATTTGTTATATAGATGCATATTTAAATTTCAAACTTCAAACAAAACATGCCTAAATGTATCTTGAAATTTTTAGGGGAAAAATTTAGCAAACACGTTTAAGATTACATACAATACATATTTTTATATGTTATCTTAACATATAGGTTAATTAGTTTCATATCTAAACAATATATAAACAAATATAACAATTTTTCGTACAATACAGACAAATATATAAACAATATATTTATATACAAATATAATAAACAATACAAACAAATATAATAACTTGTCACGTGTATATTTCGTACAATGCATATATTTATATATATTATCTTAACATATAAGTTAATTAGTTTCATATCTAAACAATATATATTTTAGGAACCTAAAGATCCATAACATTACTGACGTCATGTATATTTATAATATATTGTCACGTACATTTTACTATAATTGGTAACTTTTTTAAAATTATTTGAATAACTGGAGGTTGATTTGTAACTTAAATTTCAGATTCATTCATACATTTAAAGGAAAATATCATAAGCAGATTTTTTTGATACATTTCATTTTATCTCAGCTTACATATAATCACATTCCTACCAAACATTAAATTTCCTTATATCTTTTTAAATTAATTACATCAATAAATAATATTAATATACATTATATATTTATCATTATATAACAAATGTATTACTTCTACAAGTGTTATAAATAATAATGACATTATATGATAATAGATTTTTTGATAGATTAATAATTGAGTATTATGATGAACCAAAATATGTAAAATTATTATTATTTTGGGTTAAAAAATAAATATATATGTTAAAATATTATTTATAATGATATAAACGGGTCAGCATACTAATATATTGTGAAAATAAAATTTTTAAAAAAAAGTTCTAAAGTACGGAAACTCCGTGCATAGCACGGGATTCTCACTAGTTAATTTCAACATAAATAATAATTTTTTTTTTTGCCAATACAGAAATAATAATTTTGAATCTTTGATGCGCCATTAAAACTATTGAACTATTTAAGAAAATAATCGAATGAATATTGACAAATTGTGCGATATAAAATAAAAAGTTGTTGGATATGATTGCTATGATGGTAAGTGGACAATGAAATTAAGGGCTGCTAACTACCAACTACTAATTTTCATATCAATTGATAAATTACTCAATACTACGACGTGGGAAAACATAATAGTAGTTGGAATAAAATAACAAACAAGTAGAAATAAAATAACTAATTAAAGAAGAAATTGTCAAAACACATCAATGAAAAGAATCTGTCACAAATTAACCAGCGACTTTGGCCGCAGACTTTTACTTAATGATCATATTAAGGAAAAGTTTTCATTGGATGATGACCAAATAAAAACTGCTTAATATTAAATTTAAGAAGGTTGACGCTTCACCTTATTTTCTTCTTCTTCTTCTTCTTCTTCTTTTTTT